CAAATGATCTATTTCTTATTAGGTAGGCTATAAAAATTTGTGCTTTTTGAAGTACTGAACCATTACAGTTGCCTAATGTATGTATGTAGAATCGTTGTTATTATTCCCTTATGATCCTTTTGATCTCTTGAGGGTCTGCGGAGATGGCCACTCTTTTGTTCCTGATATTGACAATATCCTTTACCCCCTGAATCCACCATGGTATCAAGTTTAGGCTCACATACAACTTCCTACTTTTTATATCTCAAATATTAAGACTAATATTTCTGTAGGACTACCCTGCTATATGGGCAGTTGGAGAATCAAAGTACTTGTTTTTTCAGGGGTCAGTAAAATTTAAAGATGTGTTTGTTGACTTCTCTTGGGAGCAGTGGGAATGCTTAAACGCTGATCAAAAAAATCTGTACAAGATGGTGACGCTGGACAGCTACGAACATATGATGAGTCTGGGTAAGAATAAATTTTCTCAGTTGACAAGCTGCCTATTTTGAGGCTTTTTCTTGCTATTTTACTGATATCTATAGAACTCTTGAAGTGCTGACCTAAGCTCCCTAAATTAACTATAAGAGCTTTCTGAAGGGAGAAATGAGCACATTCATGCTTCAAACACTCAAGCTTTGTGTATCCAATTTCCTCAAATCTTCACACATTTCTCAAAGACAATAGTCCTAAGGCTCTTGTGGACCCCAGATCACCAGTAGAGCTACTTTTAAAGCACGGGTTTAAAAAAAAAAAAAAAGCACAGGTGGTTTATGGACTGAACTGTGAAAGAATGCTGCTCCCAGGCTTCCTTGGAGATCTCTTTCCTTACCGGGTATCAATATATAACTTCTTTTCCATCCTAAGTGGTGTTGGAAGTGAAAGAGAAGGTTACAAATTATGCTGGGATAACTAAAGCAAACTGAGACCTGTAGACATCTTGCTTATGGCCAAGAGATTGGGTTTAAATTCTCTGACAGTTAAAGCACTGAAAAGATAATTTTGCTTCCCTTATATGCAGGGCAATGGGCATTTAAAGCAAGAGCAATGTCCTCTTTGAAGCAAGAGAGTGATCCCTGGATGCTGAAAAGAGAGGCAACAGATGATCCATGCCCAGGTAATTGACATGCAGTGAGCAAGGTGAAAGTCATCACAATTCCCACCCTAACTGGTCAGAGTAGCCTGGGTCCCTGAGGTGATGAGAGATGAACTCTGTGCAAGGGTTTCCATACAGGACAGAAAAGAATACCTAGTAGATCTTCTTTTTATCCCATGATTATTTTTCTAGAGCCCTTCTTGTCATCTCTCTCTTCTTAAAGAGGCAGATACTCTTACCTGTCTATGTGCATATACTTTTTAAAAATTAATTTATTTTAATTGGAGGCTAATTACTTTACAATAGTGTAGTGGGTTTTGCCATACATTGACATGAATCAGCCATGGATGTACATGTGTTCCCCATCCTGAACCCCCCTCCCACCTCCCTTCCCATCCCATCCCTCAGACCTTTGACATAGGTCAGGATCTGGGAAAAATAGACTCTGATATCTGAGATTTGCATGCAGGAGGTTTTGGAGTTCTTTTGGGAACAACATCTGTGAAGAGTGAGGGGAAACTAGATTGAGCTAAGGGAGAAATTGAACTGCGGTGCTAATGCAACTCTGGCTCATATCCAATCCTACAGGGACTTTTGAACCTCAGATGGCCCTTCAGAGTGGTTCTGAATTGAGGCAGAGAAGTTGGACTTTTGCACCCCTTACTCTTACAGGAGGAGTGTAATTTCACGTGAGGCAGCCATCTTCATCCAAGCGCAGTGGTCCAAAAGTTTACTCAGCTGTGAGCCATAGGCAGCCAATCTCTCAACAGGTGTAAAGAGCAGTGACTTAATTGTGAAGGAGTATTAGGACTCAGGACTAAGTGATGGGTGATGGACCATCATACCCATGACCTCCTTAGACGTTGATTTTTTTAAAATTTTTAACATTTTTATTTGATTGAAAGAATAGATACATGAATTGCTCAACTGGATAACAGTTTCAGTGGGCAAAGATGAAGGAGAGAATGATAATCCAAAATCCCCCAAATCACAAGTATCACAAATATTTTAACAAAATGGTTGCGGAGGAGTTTTTTAAAAATGTTTGTGGTAAAGCAATAAGAAAACTGGAGAATAAAACTTCATAAATTAACAAGAAGTTTGTCAAATGGAGGAGACAAGCTATGATCATAAATATCAATGTGGAGGGCTTCCCTGGGAGTCCAGTGGTTAAGCATCCACCTGCCAATACAGGGCACCCGGGTTTGATCCCTGGTCCGGGAAGATCCCACAGGCATTGGGCTAACCCTGCACCACAGCTCCTGGAGCCGTACTCTGCAACAGGAGAAGCCACTGCAATGAGAAGCCCATGTGCAGCAAGCAACAAAGATGCAGCACCGCCAAAAATAAAATGAATTTAAAAAAATCAATGTAGAAATGAGCAGGATTTCTAATCACATAGAATGTAGGTCCAATACAGAGTTCAGGGATATTAAAATATAATTTCCTCTTAAAGGTTAAAGAATTTTGGAAGAAATAACTGTCCATTAATTCCTAAAAATTAAGGGGAAAATATGGCAGGGGTATATTTTTATTTTGCATCATAATTAGGTTCAAAGAATAGGAAAGAAATGATCAAATGTAGATAAGCCGTGATCAGTTTGTAATGTGGGCTGGGAACCTAGAAGTAAGTGAAACATAAGAGAATCAGATATAGTCAAAATGTTGAATTTTTTTTAATGATCTGAGAATCATTCATTGGAATTCTAAATAATATCTAGGTGTTTATTTCCTGGGTTAAAAACTGCTCCCTCAAGGCGACCTTCATCAGTAGTCAAAGTATAAACTTGATTGCAAGATAGCAAAACCTGAGTTGGGATCATTTATGTAAAATATGAGAAGATATTCTTTCCCTGAATTATATTTTCAAAAGGTTCAATCTACAAAGTTTCAAAAAAGAAAACTTTGGAAATGACTCTAATCTCACCACTCTTTTGGAACTGAAGTATTGGGTTGATCAAAACATTTTTTCATTTTTAAGTATGAGCCTTGACTATACCATGGCTTCACCCTTCCTACCCATCTAGTTGTGGCTCCTTCTTGCTATCTTTTAGAAGATCTTTTCTGCTCATCTTCTGATCTTTCTCATCAAAGGTTGCTCTTTAAACAGTTGTAATTTTGGTGTGCTCATGGGAGGAAGGGAACTCAGGGTCTTTCTACTCTGCCATCTTGGCCATGCCTCAGTGATAGAGAGTCTTATATTTACTTTATAGTTTTGTGATTTGTTTTATCTCATGAAGCAAAACCCAAATATCTAACAACTAAACGTTGTTGTTTAGTTACTAAGTCATGTCTGACTCTTTGCAACCCCATGGACTGTAGCACACCAGGATTCCCTGTCCTTTACTATCTCCTGGAGATAAAAAGATCAGTGATAAAACTAAGAATCAGACTGGCAAAAATATAAAATATTGGTAGAACCCAGGGCTATAGAAAGTGATAGCAATGATTTGTACATGTACTAGAGTTTAGAATTAGAACTGGCAACTTATTTGAGTTTTATGCTTTAACATGTGGAACATACATAATTGAGATTCCTCTTTGAAAGAGTAATTCTGTGACTTTAAACACAGTATGCAGGAGATCTGGGCTTGATCCCTTGGTTGGGAAGATCCCCTAGATGAGGACATGGCAACCCACTCCAGGATTCTTGCCTGGAGAATCCCCATGGACAGAGGATCTGGCAGGCTACAGTCCATGGGGTTGCAAAAAGTCTGGACACAACTGAGGTACTAAGCACCCACACACATACTGGTGATTAAATTCATAGAGGTCTATATACAAGTTAATGGATCACTCTTTACATTAACAAATGGACACAATGCAAATTCCTTGTAATAAAATCAATGGATAAATCTAGTATGGCACTCTTAGTATTCAAGAAGCATTCAAATTAGTGTACTACTTATATTGAACCACATACTAACTTGGGCTTCTCAGGTGGCTCAATGGTAAAGAATCTGCCTGCTAATGCAGGAGACCCAAGTTCAATCCCTGGGTCGGGATGATCCCCTGGAGGAGGAAATGGCAACCCACTCCAGTATTCTTGCCCAGGAAATCTGATGGACAGAGGAGCCTTCTGGGCCACAGTCCACGGGGTCAAAAAGAGTCGGACACGACTGAGCGACAGAGCAGGTGAGCACACATTAACTCATCAAAGTCTATGGCTAAAAGAAAAACTTGGGTGTAAAATCCTTTGTCTAGTGAGTGTACCATTTAATAGGTTATTCTTAGAGATATTATTCAGTTCAAAGAATGTCAGTGCCTTATTTTTTAAAATACTGATGTTGCTTTTATTTTTTTAATTTCACTATTTATTTGGCCACACCTCTCAGCGTGTGAGATTTTAGTTTCCCGACTAGGGGTCGAACCTGTACCCCCCAGCATTGAAAGCACAGAGTCTTAACCCACTGGACCATTAGGGAAGTCTCCTGATACTGCTTTTAAACAATACCTTCAAAATGCACAGCTGCACTTACTCTTCACCACTTTCCAATCACATGTTGCCACTCTATCTTTGTATTCCCCGACACATGCACAAACAGCTTGTGATCTATATTGTGTTGTGAGAGTCTAATTTCATTTTATTTTTGTCTTCCCATTAGCCTGCCAACCAACTTTGGATTTTTCTCCTGAACTTCATGAATCCATGGGTGCTTTCCGACAGAGCTCACACTCGAGTGCACAGCAAAGATTTTACACACTAAGGCAAAGCCATGAGTGTGATGACTGTGGAATAGCATTCAGTCATCTGTCACACTTAATTCAACATAAGAAAATTCATACAGTAGAGAAAGCATATGAATATGATGGGTATGCAAAGACCTTTAGACATCCATTTACTGCTCACCAAAGCATTCATGCTTTAGAGCAACTCTTTGAATGTCGTAACTGTGGCAATACTTCTACTAGAGCTTCAAGGTTTATGCAGCATCAGAAAAAGCATACGGGATCGAAACGATACAAATGTGATGCATGTTACAAAGCCTTTAATTTTTATTCACTCCTTATTCAGCATCAGAGAGTTCACACTGGAGAGAAACCCTTTCAGTGTGATACGTGTGGAAATGTCTTTAGCCAAAAGTCAACCATGCAACGACATAAAGAAACTCATACTCTAGGGCAAAGCTTTGAATGTAGCAGGTGTGAAGACATCTTTGACAGTCATTCAAAGCTTATGGAACACCAGGCAACTCACCGGGCAATCAGTACTGATCGGGCTACGCATACTCAATCAACAGCATACAAATGTGACAAATGTGAAAAGTCCTTTAGGTTTTACTCATACTTGAGGAGACATGAGAGAACTCATAGTGGAGAGAAACCCTTCAAATGTGATGTATGTGAAAAGACCTTTAGCCAAGAAGGGGTCTTGAAACGGCATAAAAAAATTCACACTGGAGAGAAGCCTTTTCATTGTCAAGTGTGTGGACGTAATTTTATCAGTAATTTTGAGCTTATCCAGCATGCAAGAATTCATACTGGAGAAAAGCCACATAGATGTGACCAGTGTGGCAAGACCTTTAGAGTTACATCTGTTCTTAGAATTCATAAAATAAGCCACTTAGAAGTGAAACCTTTTGCTTGTGATCAGTGTGAAAAAACTTTTACGAGGAGAGTATACCTTGTTCAACATCAGAAAATTCACAGGAAATAGAATTTCTAAAATCATGATAATACCAAAAAGGCCTTTAGGTATCACCTGGTCTTTATTAAATGTCTGAGAATTCATCCCGAGAAACCCTATTTATAGCTAAATAACTTTCCATGTTGATTATAAGATTCCATGCTTGTTCCTCAGAATGTGAGGAAAAATCTTCACACGCTGTGTGAAAAATCTTAGACTAAAACTAGTATATGAAATTTAACATGTTTTTTAACATGCAAGGAAACAGCATCATAGGATGACAGATTTAATATTTTCTCTTACTTTGACCATGATTCTTGGAAATATTCACTAGAAAAATGACTGAGAAGGTTCAGCCTAGGATTTGAAATAAGCCAAGGCATTGCTTTCATCATAGTCCCTACACTGAGAGTAGAAAGGAAGACTAATGTAATAAGAAAAAATAAATTTAGCTCATAATCTTATTTCAATGGATGAACAAATTAGGTCAGGAACAAATCTTTAAAAATAGAGGCAACATGGTCAATAATAAAAAGACTTGTGAGAGAAAACTGTATATCGAATCCAAGTGGGCATAAGTGATGTGAACTGTCTTCCTAGGATTAAAACCAAAGAAAATTCCTATCTACAGAGACTAAAAGCCTTAATTGACTTGCTCCTTAATTCTGAAACTAGAACAGGGGTTGGTGATGGGATCGACATCTGTAATAAAAATTAAAATGCTGGGAGTGACAAAATGTTTTTGCTGTCTTGTCTGAATGGATGTAGTGCCTGTGATATCTGGCCTCGTGCAGTTATTTAGAGAAAAATGAAGTATTGCAACAGAAGGCTGTTGGACTTCCATTCTGAATGCGGAGAATCTATGGTCATGTTTTACTTGGAAGGAACTACATTTCTTAACGGATTAATAAGTAAACACAAAGCTTTTGAGCATCTGCTGCGTAGTGGATTTCTGACACAAAGTCAGAATCCATCTCACATTGCTTGATGAATTTCTTCAACCATTAATGACAAAGTTCCCCTGTCCAGCTTAAGGCAGAGGGTATGGTTTAATAAGTTTCCGGGGCCTGTTTCTAATGCACAGACAACTGGGGGAATGTGACCCTAAGCTATTGTTTCTTCCCTGTCACTCCTCTCTCTGATATTATGATGGCTTCTCCAAAGAAAGGGCTTGCCAGGTGGCACTAGTGGTAAAGAACCCGCCTGCCAGTGCAGGAGACACAAGAGATTTGACTTCGATCTCTGGGTCAGGAAGATCCCCTGGAGAAGGAAATGGCAACCCACTCCAGTATTCTCGCCTGGAGAATCCCATGGACAGAGAAGCCTGGTGGGCTACAGTTGATGTGGCCGCAAAGAGTCGGACATGACTGGGCACCCAAACAAAACATAATCTCCAAAGAAAATTTGGCTTTGGGTTTCCACATGAGCCTTGCATGCCCAATTCACTAACAGCCTAAAGAGTAACATGAATGATTCTCCAAGTCACAGTTGAAACTGATCCTTAATTCTCTTGCCTCTGCAGGACCCATTTCAGTTTGATTGGATTCAACTTAGAGGAGCTGAAACTAATTGAACTTGGCTGAAAAATATTTGAGAAATTGCTAAGAACACAGAAATGAGATTATAAACACAGTCATGAAGATAGATATATTACTGGCCTAAGGTAACTCATAACTTCCTCAGTTAACGAGACAAAGGAAAGACAAGACTAATGTGTATCACAACACCTTCCCCGTCTTTGGTTCCTTTGTTGTTCAGCCAGTCAGTCGTGTCTGACTCTTTGCAACCCCATGGACTGTAGCCCTCCAGGCTCCTCTGTCCATGGGATTTCCCAGGCAAGAATACTGGAGTGAGTTACCATTTCCTTCTCCAGGGGATCTTCCCAACCCAGGGATTGAACCCGGGTCTCCTGCAGGCAGATTCTTTATCGTCTGAGTAAGCGAAGCACTTACTTTCTGTCTAACCAACTCTATTTGCTCAGCCACAAATAATGGCAGGAAACACATTCATATCACTCCAAGGTAGTTTCACATTTTGGTTCTTTTTTTTTTAATGAGTAAACTTTTATTGCACTTTTATTTTCATTGTTAAGTCTTTTGGCCTTGCCTCGCGGCATGTGGGATCTTAGTTCCCCAGCCTAGGACAGAACCTGCACTCTCTGCATTGGCAGTGTGGAGTCTTAACCACTGGACCATCAGGGAAGTCCCCACATTCATTCTTAAAACAGACTAGTCCCCACATCCTCATTCTTAAAACAGACTCTTGCGAAGTTGTCAGTTGATTGAGAAATAAGGTTCTGATCTCAACGATGCTCTCAGGCACGTCTTCTCCCCATGTGTTCTTCCTCTTTCCTCCTCTTGTGCCAGTGAATCAAGGGTTCCCTGCATGAGGACCAGATAAGAAGTGAAGGAGCAGGGGTCATCTCAGGGCTGGGTGCGGTCCATGTGCTTCATCACACCTGCAAAGTCCCTTTTGCCATGTAAGGTAATATATTATAGGTTCCAGGAATTAGGATGTGGTCCTCTTGCCACACTGGTGGTGATGGTCATTATTCTGCGGACCACAACCTGCATCATTCCCAGCCCGTCTGGGACAAGCTGCACGTGGGATTCCCCCATGCCACTGATGACGGGCCATGGGGAAGAGGAGGTGCTTTCAGACACCATCTTCCTACTGAATGCAGGTAACTGTCTCTCCTCCTCCATGCAGCTGCCTCACGTGGGGCAGGGGCACCAGGTGAGACCCGTCTCCCCCCTCCCCGCCGCCCCCCCCCCCCATCTCAGAGATTCAAGCGGGAAGAGAATCAAGCAGATGGTGTGTTACATGACCCAGTAGGGGAACACGGTAGGGGGTGAATAAGACCACTAGGGAATTTCCAGCCTAAATCTTGACCTACATACCACATGCCCTAATCCTTCCTGTGTCTAACATACTCAGGATCAGAAGGGCTGAGTCCTGCAGGCGGTGACGGGCCTTGATTGGGAAATGAGAAGGTTCTGGGTGTGATGAGCTGGGCTCTATATAAGCAGGCCTTCGGTGCATGCCGGGCTTGCTGGCTGTGCTGGAGCTGGTCTGTCTGGGATGGTGAGTTCGTGCTCTGTCCCACTGGGAAGCGGAGGACGTTTTGTTAGCTGCATGCCTGGGAAACAAGAGTGGCACACTCTGGCACATGGGCACAGGCCCCATACAGCTGCAGTTCCAGCTGCCACGGGCTCATGCGTGGGCTCCTTGTGGAGCCCGGGAGAAGAGGCAATGTGTCAAGCTGAGGCTAGGAGGCTGTCGTGCATTTCTGGCTTCCTCTGTGTATGTGGTTGAGGCAGTCAGGATTTGGGGGTGGGGATGGGGGTTTGAACCTTTTGTCTCACGTACTTCTGCTCTCAGTTTTAAGGTGTGACCTCTCTGGAGTGTTTTGCCCTGAGAATGGAAGGAGGAGGAGGAGGAAGCATGGTTCTTTCATTTCTAAAAGTGATATCACAGGTGAATCAATTGCTTACTTCTGAATTCCGTCCTAAATACCAATTTACCGGCCTAATTCAGTTCAGTTCAGTCACCCAGTCGTGTCTGACTCATTGTGACCCCATGAACTGCAATATGCCAGGCCTCCCTGTCCATCACCAACTCCTGGAGTCCACCCAAACCCATGTCCACTGTGTCAGTGATGCCATCCAACCATCTCATTCTCTGTTGTCCCTTTCTCCTCCTGCCCTCAATCTTTCCCAGCATCAGGGTCTTTTCAAATGAGTCAGCTCTCTGCATCAGGTGGCCAAACTATTGGAGTTTCAGCTTCAACATCAGTCCTTCCAATGAACACCCAGGACTGATCTCCTTTAGGATGGACTGGTTGGATCTCCTTGCAGTCCAAGGGACTCTCAAGAGTCTTCTCCAACACCACAGTTCAAAAGCATCAATTCTTCAGCACTCAGATTTCTTTATAGTCCAGTCTGTTGTTCCATGTCCAATTCTAACTGTTGCTTCCTGACCTGTATAACCGGCCTAATAACCCTTGGCTGTTTGGAGCTGTAAGGGAGTCTGTTGCAGGTCTCTCCCCTGGCTTCTGGTGGATGCTGGCTGTCCTGGGTGTTCCTTGGCTTGTGGGTGCCTCGCTGAGGTCTCTGCCTTTATCCTCTAACAGTCTCCTCCCCAGTCTCTGCAAACAGTGGTCCCTCAGTGTATCTCTGCCTCTGTATCCAGACTTTCCCTTCCTAAACCATTGGATTAATGACCACCTAAAGCTCGTTTTAACCTGATGACTTCTGCAAAAACCCTATCTTCAAGTAGGGTCACATTCTGAGGTCTTGGGGGTCAGGGCTTTTTCGTGGTGGTGGTTTAGTCACTAAGTTGTGTCTGACTCTTCGTGACCCCGTTGACTGTGGCCCGCCAGATTCTCCAGGTAAGAATACTGGAGTGGGTCGCCATTTCCTTCTCCAGGATCTTGCTGACCCAGGGATCAAACCCAGGTCTCCTGCATTGCACACAGATTCTTTACCATCTGAGCTACGAGGGAAGCCTATCGTTTTTGGGGACCACTATAAATGCATAGGCTTCCCAAGTGGCTCAGTGGTAAAGAATCCGCCTGTCAACACAGGAGCTGCAGGAGATGTGAGTTCAATCCCTGGGTCCGGAAGATCCCCTGGAGGAGGAAATGGTAACCCACTCCAGTATTCTTGCCTGGAGAATTCCATGGATGGAGAACCTGGCAGGTTATAGTCCTTGGGGTCGCATAAGAGTTGGACATGACTGAGAGACTGAGCGTGCACACATGAATGCATAACAGGCTGACACGAAAAAACTAACAAGGATTCTTCTGGGAGAGAATTTCTATTTCTGTTATGGTCATTCATTATTCAATGTCCTTTTTGCTTTTTAAAAAGCATTCATTTGTTTGGCTGTGCTGGGTCTCAGTCGTGGCATGCAGGGTCTTTTTTAGTTGCAGCATGTGAATTCTTAGTTGCTGCATACGGGATCAATACCCTGAGCAGGGATGGAACCCG